AAACATAACTCAGAGCATGTCCTTCTTAAAGAAACATGACAGTGACTCCCCATCGCCCTGAGGATGAACGTGTTATTCTTACTGTGGCCTGCAGGGGTCTTCAGTTTCTTCTCACAGTACTCTCCACCTCGCCCTTCACATTCCAGCTGGCTTCCTTGGTCTTGGTCTTGTGTGCTAAATTCTGCACTGGCCTTTTTCCTCTGTCTGAAATGCCCTTCTGCTCATTCTTCAATTAGCTGTGTTTTTCTTAACCCAAGGTCTCAGATTAAATATCATTTTGCCACAAAAGCCTTCCCTGACCCTCCTAAACCAGGTTTGGTCTTCCTTTATATATATTCTTTGACTTTCTATATTTTATAGTACTTATAATTTTAATTATTATGTAACTGTTTGTTTAATGTTTGTCTCACCTGTTAGAGAGTAAGCTTCGTGGGGGTGGTGATCATCCATCTCATTCATTGCCTGGCAGAGCTCCAGCACAGAGTAGATACTTAATATTTGTTGACTGAGTAAATTACTGTAGGCATAAAGGCAGTTTCTGACAGTATGAGAGTTTAGAGTAAGAAGATTATGACAGAAACAAAAAATCAGCAAATAAAATGGACATTGTAGGGAAGCAGATATCTTGGTGATAGACTGGCTCTGGATGGAAGATGACCTTGATTTCACAAACTTAAGAAGTAGGCAAAAATATTGCTCTTACCTCTCTGAGAAAACTCTGAAAGCAAAGTCCTAACAAGATAAGAAATGCCTGCTGCAGGGATTAGAAAGACAATTGACTCCATAAGGAAGGCTGAGAGACAAGTCAGTCCTGAAGCCTTAGTTTCATCCATGGAAGTAAAGGCCAATTTCAAGCAGTATTACAGTCACATGAGAGAAGTCTAGGAACCATGTGTCTCTCCCCAGATATTTAGCTCTCACCCAGGGCCAGCAGGGGTTTCCCACCGTACACACCATACCCCTAATTTTTGTCTTTTGTTTAGGGGCCATTAAGTTTAATGATAACCTGAGCTTCGAGGAGAGCTGTCGCCTTATTGAAGCACTGTCCTGGTGCCAGCTGCCATTCCAGTGTGCTCATGGCAGGCCCTCCATGCTGCCGTTAGCTAACATCGACCACTTGGAGCAGGAAAAACAGGTACAGAAATGACTTAACAGGAGACTAGCTCCTGTGATCCAAATGTAATCTGTCTTAATCCTTTCCCCAATACAAGAGTTTTGAAAAATACTGGAAGTTTTTTTGGATGTCTCACCATTTCATCTTCTAGCTCAAATTCAAAATGGAGTTTAGGCAGAACTATCTGATTATACATATGATGCCTTCATATTTTTTAAGCTTAAAACATGTACAGACCAAAGCATCCTAAACATCTGTTGCCTACAGGCTCTAGGTTTTCTGAGATAGAGAAGTTCTCTCTGGGACCACAGAAGATTAGCCAAAACAGCAAATTCACTGCCGGCAAATGTAGCCTAAAGAGCCAGTTGCTTGATAGTATTGGGTTGGCCAAAAAGTTCGTTTGGGTTTTTCCATAACATCATACAGAAAACCCCGAACGAACTTTTTGGCCAATCCAATACTTGCTGGAAATGGTAGCCATCTCCAGGGATCTCTAGAGTAGTGATTTGAGGATCAGGCAAGGAACCAAGCTTAGGAGATTTTCACATTATGTTTTGGCCCTGATTACTCAGCAGTCCAAGAACAATGATGTGGATAATTCAATAAAGGCAGCAAGTGGTTTAAATTAAAGAACATTTCTATCCTTGTTATAATCTTAAATGAAACAGAACATGAGAGCATAATAGGAATGTCCGCTTTCCAAAATCTTTTATTTTGCTTACTTTTCCTGCTGAGGGCTGTAAAGTCTTTTCTTGCATGGAGTTTTCAGGTACTAATATTTTCTGACTCATCTAGTCCATTTTACTCCATTAAGAACTTTTTGTTTCATATGACAATGGAAAAATGAAAGAAGTTTTGTCCCCATTCCTGAAGAGATGTGCCTCTAGACTTAGTTTTCAGTCCCACTTATCCTAAGGAAATCTAAAAATCTTTTCTGAATCCAGAAACTAGAAATCTAAACTAATGGGAGTAGCTGTAATTAGGAAATACTTGTATGCTCCTTGGCTTTTCATGCTGCTAACTGGAGTTATTCTCTTTCTTCCCACAGACTAAACCCAATCTTGCTAAACTTCACAGAATGGCTCAGGCCTGGCATCTCTTTGGAAAAGGAGAAGGATGTGATATGGGGCAAAGCCCGCAGGCATCCATGCCTCCTTGTGAGCTGCCAAGAGAACAGAATTACTGTCTGTAAAGAACCAAAGGGAGGCTGACTGTAGGCCTTTGAGCAGAGAGCGTAAGCAGCAGGCACTAGTCGGGTCTTGACTGAATGGGCCTGGGGCCCTGATCAGCATCTCCATCTTCCCTGAGCAGGTGATCCCTCCAGTTGAGGAGCCAGATGGATTTCAAGCCTAAAGACAGGTCATTCATTGGCATCCATGGACACAGGAGGTTGCCCTCTAATATCTACATTTTGTAATTTATAAAGAGGATAAAATTCAATGATTAATTGTCTGATTGTCTGGTTGGTTTGTTTGCAGAATTTGGGGGTAGTAGGATGGGGGTTTTGGTTTTGTTTTGCCACTTTTTTGAGCCTCATAATTTGCACCCGATGCTGAACTCCCTTCCCCTCTGGCCACTTCCACTGCCCCCCGCTGCTGCTTCACATTCTGCATCTCGGCCTTAAAGAGTTTCTCCATGCTTAAAAATGTGCCTGGCAGTCTTCCACCAGGCCTGTAGTTAGATTATTTTAAGGATAAAAGCAATTGATAAAGAGAAGTGAGGACAAGGATGGAACAGAGAAACTGTCAAGCCCTGCTGCTGGTTTTTGTTTTACTGCCTTCTTGAAACCTTTTAGGCAGGCACCAGCCCACCGTGGCTAGAGCTGTGCCTCAGGCAGGCCCGGGCCCTCAGCTCTGCAGTCTCCATCTGCCTGCAAGAGAGCTGTCAGCTCCCTCTGTCACATGCTTGTTGATCATATGAAAATTCTAGAAACAGGTCCCCTGACATCTAAAAATGTTGGAACTGTATTGGTGAGGGCTGTAGCCTGTGGTGATGTAATACAATTACAGATTAAAGTGGATGAAGAGGGGAAGATCATGTTTGTTTGTGTTTTTTGAAGATCAAAAGTTTATTTACTACCTGCATACAAAAACATATTGCACATCAAACAATCAAAACCAAAAAAAAAAAGAAAAAGAGAAAAAAAAAAAGAAAAGATACTCTACTGAAGACTAACATGTAGTTTATACAGAATAAACCTTCTGGAAATTGATCCTTTCAGTAGTTCAGGTTATGTCTGAATGGACATGACTAATTCAGTTTAGTGTTTTAACTAAAGCTATGTTTGATTTTTTAAATACTGTACACTTTAATAAATAAACCAAACAAAGCCTCAATGTAGAACAGTCACTGCCAATAACACCCAGTGTCCCTGCAGATGAGTGTTTAACAAGTGTATTCCAGTGGTCTGCAGATTTCCCTCTACAATACAGCATTTTTAAAACACATTAAAACAGACCAGTTTCCAGACTAAAACTAATGAAGAACTTACAATTCAGTGCAAAATATCTTAGACTGCATTTCATTCTAGTTTTCCTCAGGTGAAGAAGTGGTTGCATATTATTAAAAATGTAACAAAAGCAGCTAATGCTTTCATAAAGAATATTAGGTTAGGGATCCCACCCCACCCACCTCCCCCCATCTCTGCCATATTTTGAAAACAAAATAACATTTCCTATAGCCAGCAACTTTTTTTAATGTTACATATACTATTCTCAAGGCACATCTGATGATATATAACACAGTAGGTGTCAAAGTATGTTTAACATATGATTTCTTCAGGATCATGAATGCCAGGTCTAAGATTTGGCTGTAGTTCTGCAGTTGCGTCCAGCTGGTTAGCCACCCAGTAGGTAAAAGGGAAAACAGTAGAGGAAGCTTGAACCATCAAATACATGGACATAGCCAAGGAACTCTGCCTTCCTCCTGTGGCTGCACTGTTCCCTGCTGGCTGAAAGTGCAGTCCAGGCTGCCCTGGCTGATGACACAGGGAAACAAGAACTCAAGAAGGCAGCAGCAGAAAAGATAGGAGCCCTCGGTGAAGAAGCCTCGGCCAGGTTGCATCAGCAGTTTGCTCCCCCTCCCCGACAGTAAAAGAGCTACAAGATACACAAAACATTTGCTTTTCATAGTGTGGCCCAAATGCCAGCAAAATGCACAGTTTAGTTGTTCTGAATCCTATGATTTCTTTCAGCCCACGTTTATCACCTTGACCCAGTTCATGAATATTCTGAATTGTCTGTACAGTCTCAAAACTGAAATCAATAATGAAGTTTCAGACTTCCCTGGTGGTCCAGTGGTTAAGAATCTGCCTGCCAATGCAGGGGACACGGGTTCAATCCTTGATCTGGGAAGATCCCATGTGCCAAGGGGCAACCAAGTCTCAGTAACAACTGCTGAGCTCACACATCTACATTCTGTGCTCCGCAACAAGAGAAGCCACTGCAATGAGAAGGCAGCACACCGCAACTAGAGAGTAGCCCCTGCTCACCATAACTGGAGAAAGCCCATGCACAGCAACGAAGGCCAAGCACAGCCAAAAATAAGTTATTAGTTTAAAAAACTTAAAAAATAACAATAATAAATGAAGTCTCAAGTTTTGGTAGTCCACAAAATGCACAAATAACAATTTTACCTAAATCTATTTTGAGGAAGATTACCAATAGAAGTCTTTGATAAAAGACATAGGTATGGTTATTTGATAGAACCAATTATTGTTCATAAGTGAAAAGTGAAGTCGCTCAGTCGTGTCCGACTCTTTGTGACCCCATGGACTGTAGCCTACCAGGCTTCTCCATCCATGGGATTTTCCAGGCAAGAATACTGGAGTGGGTTGCCATTTCCTTCTCCAGGAGATTTTCCTGACCCAGGGGTTGAACCCGGGTCTCCCACATTGTAGGCAGACGCTTTACCATCTGAGCCACCAGGGAAGTCATATTAATAAGTAAGAGAATATAAGGCAAAATAATAAATGACCCCCCCTCTCTCAGAGACTGATACTGTTCATATCCCAGACCAGAAAAATGGTGAAAGTACTGTGAGCTTGTTTTAGAAAAGATTTTTTTTGTACACAAAGTATCTCTCTTAATGTGAAAGCAATTTTCATATCAAAAATGCAGCATTAATTCTTTCAACCTAACCAGATACAGTCTCTACACTTTTTCAGGAGACAAGTGTTATTTTGGTCCCTTTCAAATTGCATCTTGGTTTTTTTATTGCGGTACACCTATCTAATGGCCCCATAATTTCATTTGGGACCAGGACTGATCTTTCTGCAAATGCTTGTTATGCTACTCTTAATCCATACTTGTCCCACCTTTTTAGATGACTTGATCTCTGGTTGATAAGACTCTAAAGTACTATGAAAGGAAAACAAAAAAAAGCAAAGACAAAGCTAGTAATATGTCTGGGATGGGATGTGTTTTGAATGGGATGCCATGTGATGAGAAAGATGTTGCGATGAGAATTTCTACTTTGGTATTTCCTGGCCAGCCTGTTCACACTGGTCTTTGTTGCAAACGGAATGATTTTCTTCCTTTTTAAATACTGGAATCAGATTTGTCCTCATGGAAGAAAAATTCACTTGCCAGCAGCCTTGCAGTGAATCTTATGGGAGCGATGAAGTAGCGCATTCACAGAAGGTTTAGGGAAAGCCTTCACTGGTTTTCAAGGGGATCGTTGTAGAATTATGTAATTGGACCCCGGAAGAATAGGCGCCACTGTCTAAATATGGCCCTTCTTCCTCTAAATACGTATAAATGATCGCCTAGGCTGGGAGGTGTGACCTTAGGAAGGAGAGCGTCTTCAGGGCCTCGGCCTCCAGGAGCAGTGGGGTGCTGTGGCCTCTGGACCTCTGCCACCACTGCCCAGAACTTCACGGAGGTCAGCTGTCCCAGGTGTTTTAAAAATCTTCTCAGGTCAGACCAATCTGTAGGATTAAAAAAAAGTCTTACTATACCTCTTATGTTAGGATGATGGGGTGTGATTTCACAAGGTTTTGCTAAAAATCCCAAACTCTGTGTTCTTGAGCAGGAGACTAGAAAAAGTTCTCCAGAAATCATGTAACCAGTCATCCTGGCCAGCCTGACTCTAGCAATGCAAGAGATAATTATTCTTTCTCAATAATTTTTTTTTTATTAATCTACCCATCTTTATCTTTACACAGCAGAAATGATTTATAACAAAGAGTCAAAATGCTGATCACATAGTTACATCAATCTAGTATCTTTAGTTTCACATAACAGCAATCATAACAAAAGGGTAAAAACACTGATTATGTAGTCACTATATACATGTTATCCTTACTGTTTTTACCCCATCACATTCAGGTAATAAGGAAATGAATTTGTTATTTCCAAAATTTACCTAAAACAGCCAAGGTTTTATAATTCCACTGAAGTTTCAGAATTCAATTAAACACACACAATACAAAGTGTTCTCTATCTTAATAATTTATACACACAGTAGCATGCATCAGCACAAAATCAACCAATTAGCAAAAAATATCATTACTTTTATTGCCTGTTAGCATTCTGTTAAGTTTTTTTAATCAGGTGCCATATTACAAATAATATTTGCATAATTTACTTGAATTCTTGGCAACCCATGAAATAAGGTGGTAATTATTCTCCCCATTCTACGAAGTGGGAAACTAAGGCTGAAAAATACTGTCTAACATCACACAGCTAATAAGTAAAGCAGAGCATGGTATCCATGTTTTCTGGCTCCAAGAACAACGCTGGCTACCATTTCCTGAGGGCTCACTATTATACCAAAAGCTTTGTATATGTGATCTCTAATCCTTACAAAGTCCCCTTAGGAAGCTAATATCTCTCTCTTGCAGTGAGACTTCTTAGCCTCAGAGATGTTAACAGGTTTGCTGAGCATGAGAATTCCAGCCCAGGTCTGTTGGACTTCACGTTGCACCCTCCTTCCCATTATTACCCCACACTGCCCAACATATTTTTAATTTATTAGGGATTTATCAGATTGTAAACCTGGGGTGGTTCAACTTTGTTCGATCCTGGTTGGTGGAGGAGGCTTTGTTAACTTCAGAGTAAAACTTGAGAGATGAGAAGTGCAACAAAACCATTCTTGAGAGTTCCTTTTGTCAGTAACACTCATCAGAAGTGCATTGGGAAATAAAGGTGTATACCTTCAAGACGCTTAGCTTCAGTTAGGGAGAGAGACAAGGAAACTAATTAATGTGTATGCCATGTGCTCAGTTGGGAAGGGCTCTCTGCAACCCCATGGACTGTAGCCTGCCAGGTTCCTCTGTCCATGGAATTTTCCATGCAAGAATAGTGGAGTGAGTTGCTTTTTTTCTCCTCCAGGGGATCTTCCCAACCCAGAGATCAAACTGCACATCTCCTGTGTCTCCTGCCTTGGTAGGTGGATTCTTTACCCACTGAGCTATCAAGGAAGCCAGAAACTAATGATAGACTATGGTAACTTCCTCTAAGTGTAGGGATCACCATGAGTTACAGCTATGTCTTTATTATTGAAACAAAAGGTGATAATTCTACAGTCAGAATTAAGATGGCAATAGAAGCTAGTAAAGAAAGCTGAGCGCTGAAGAACTGACGCTTTTGAACTGTGGTGTTGGAGAAGACTCTTGAAGAGTCCCTTGGACTACAAGGAGATCAAACCAGTCAATCCTAAAGGAAATCAGTCTGAATATTCACTGGAAGGACTGATGCTGAAGCTGAAGCTCCAATACTTTGGCCACCTGATGCAAAGAATTGACTCATTGGAAAAGACCCTGATGCTGGCAAAGATTGAAGGCAGGAGAAGGGGATGATAGAGGATGAGATGGTTGAATGGCATCACCAAGTTGATGGATAGGAGTTTGAGCAAGCTCCAGGAGTTGGTGATGGACAGGGAATTGCTGCAGTCCATGGGGTCTCAAAGAGTCAGACATGACTGAGCGACTGAACTCAACTGAGAAGCTAGTATCAGAAAAGCTCAAGGTAGGAATTCCCTGGGCCGTCCAATGGTTAGGACTCTCTCACTGGGTTTTATCCCTGGCCAGGAAACTAAAATCCCAACAAGCCATGTGGCCAAAAATACATGAATTTTTTCTAAGACAGAAATTTGGCAAAGCTTAAAGGGTAGGCTAGAAGGAAAAGGAGAGGCTAGGGCAAAGTCCAGAACCCAGGTGGGGAGGTGGAACTCCTTGAGTAGCTGAAAATGAAGAGGATCTAGCAATCAGACATCAGAGCAAGGGAAAAGGTCAGACACAAATCAACAGCTGGGATCTGAGCCTAACAGACAGTAAAAAGAACAAGGCAACCCCAACAGGTCAGAGCAGGAGGGGGCTCAAGGCCAAGTCCTGGAGATGTGTTGGGGGCTGAGGAAGCCATGCCAAGGGAGAACAGACGCAGCCCATCATTTCCTAGACAGCACTGACAACCACCAGCTTCAGTGGAAGCCTCAGCTGGGGGCCGGCACCAGCATCCCTGAAAGGAGGGAAGAGCAGTTTCTGGCACAAAGAACCAGGTTCTCCTTACCTGTTTTCCACTGAAGTGCACCCCCTTTCATCAAAACCCTTTACACAAGCAGGCTAACAATAAGAACTGACTGCTGTGTTTGCCACTGTATATCACGCCTGTTTTCACCCCTTCTCAGCTGAAGGTGTTCATCAACACTGAGATGGCAAAATGTGGGCTCAGAAGAGAGGAAAAGAAGGAAGCCTAGGAAACCAAAAATCTGGATAATCTGCACCAAATAAACCTTTTCTCCCTTCTATCCCTCCATTTATTCATTTGTTTATCATTCAATAACCTCTAGTGAGTCCCTTCTAAACGTATTGCTGCAGAAATTGTGGAGGCAATAAAAAAAGTTATCCTATGGTTTAGGACTTTTCAAGCCTTTGAATCACTTTCATCCCATGCCCGTTTGTCACAGAGCACTCAGTTTTATCTAGAAACATCTAATAAAGCTCAGGCAACTTGATCAAAGACTGTGGAAATCTGAATATCTAATATTTTGCAATCTATCGAGCCAGCAAGCTAGCGTGACTCAAGTAGCAGTGTGAAGAAGCTGGATTTGGCCAGATTTTCCCTGTACAACTTGCCTGACTAAACAGTTTGCTCATATTTACTTTAAGAGAAAAGAGTATCCAACTGTGATTTTAAAAAAAAAGGTAGTCTGGAGTTAGTCTATCATTAGTTTATCACTGCCCTTAGTCTATCATTACTTAAATATGCTACCACCTCTCTTTAATAGTAGTTAACTGTAGAATTTTACATATAAATTATGAATCTTGTCAAGTCTTTAAGTAGCTTCCTTCTTCTCTAGGCAGGTCTTAATTCTAAATGAAAATAACATGCCTGCAAATACACTACTGAAAGGCCCCTTCTTGTCATGACAGTACTTAATATAAACATCAGGAGATCATCATTTCAAGTGCGGTTAGGCTTGAAGGCAGCCCCGCGTGTTGTGAAGGTTGAAAGCTTAGACCATAGCTCTTTATTAATAGTAATTGCTTAGCCATTGTGCAACATCCTGGAACAACTGTTTGGTGAATGAAAGGGTAATTCAGAGCAAAGTAGACCAGATAAGAAAAACACTTCCAAACCACATTTCAAAATAGCTCCTTGGTGTCAACTGGGTACGTGTCTGCAGAGTAGAGTTTTTGTGAGGACAGGTGGATAGTATGGAGCCTTTACAATAGTGACATCCCCATCTGGTACTATCTTTATGGCAAAGCATGTTGTTGTACCGAGGTCTACACATGTGGTATCACAGAGTCAGGGAGCTCCAGGGTGGAACTGTGAGCTGGGCAGCCTTCATGAACCCAAAGACTGCTGCAACAGCTCACGTTGAGAAATGGCTTTCAGGCACATCAGTGAAACTTACGATCTTACGAGTACCGGCATTTCTTTTGAGGTATCACTTTACACTTCAGTTTTTCTTGGTAGAGTATTTTTCAGAGACTTCTCTTAGGAGGCTATATTAGGAATTTCTGTTCTTTATTTGAGTTCCAGGAACTTGTGCCTTTCCTGCCCGCCGTCCAAATTGGAAGATACAAACCGTGGGAAAACACGTCTTTACAAACTCTATGGAGTGAGTGATCTAACTTGGTTTATTTAGCATATTCAGGAAGACTTTCATGTCCATGGAATCCCTGATTAATTCTAAGCTACCACTGTTTTTAAACGAGCTTCTGAGTTCTGCTGCAAAGGCAGGGGTGGGAAGCAAGTTCAAACAAAGGTTGACAGGTAGTAAGCTAACTAGAACACCTCGGTGTCCCCCTGCTCAGATCAGGTTCTCCCTTTCCAATATTTACTCTTCCTCAAGCAGGAAAAGGGAAAGAAATTAAAAAGTGAGGTATATAAATAGCGTAGTGGGATTTGCTTAATTGAAGTTCTAAAGTCCAAAGAATCCACATCTGTGCAGCTCTGTGGCAGGCACTGTAAGAGCAGGCTGCAGACAACATGCCTCTAGCCTGGTGACCTTCGTCCATCTCAGGGATGCCTGGGAAGGATGCTGGTGCTAACTTTAGACCCAGAGACTAAGATGCACAAAGGACAAGTATCATAACAGACTTTCAGAAACAGATTTAAATTCCTTCTGCTCTTCCTCCAGAGCACAGTCATATCCAGGCGAGCCGCTGTTAGGATGGGTGCCTTCAAAGGCTTCAAAGACTGCTTGAAACGGGTAGCTACAAGCCACTTTACTGAGAAAGCATGCGGTCTTAGATGTTTTAAGAAATAATTGACAACAAAGACCTGCGTGAGCCGGGCTCTTCTGGGTCAGAGAGCTTTCAGATCAGTTCTTTAGACTGACTCTCTTCAGAATTGCCTTTCTCCTCTCTCAGGGAAGACAAGAGTCCTAAGGCAAAGATCTGCCCACGTCAAGTAGGATCCGAGTAGAGGCCTTTCCCTCATTGTCTACCTTCTGGCCAGTGTTTACCAAAACACAAATATCAAATCACCTGGTAAAATCCCTTGAGATGCTTCTTAAACATGCAGATTCCTAGAACTTCCACCTTCTGCCTCATAGATACTGATGCCAGAGGTTGACTTTGTGACAAGCATCCCAGGGGGGTTCCCTTGCACACTTGGGGGATCTTGGCCCTGAGAAGTTTGCTTTGCACCATGCTTCCCAAACATGGCATCCAGATCATCTGACCTGAGGAGGCTTTTTGAAAACATAAATCACTAAAGTAGCACACATGAAGAATAGAAACAATATCCTAAATAAAATCAGAAACTATCCTTCTGCTTGCCACTGTTTGGTGTTAATTCTTCCAGATTTTTATCCTGTGCATCCACATAATTTAAGGAGCTAAGGGTCATTTCATGCAGATTGCTCTGCAGCTTGGTTTTTTCCCCAGCTTGTTTTTGGTTAATAGAATATAAAATAGACTTGCTTATATATCTATCCCATGCATTAACACAAGGGTCACCAGATGCCCATAAGGGTTCAGCAGACAATATAAATGAGTTTTGTGAACCTGGCTTGGAATTGTAGAAAATGGGGTTCCCATTTACTAGAATTAGAAGCTATCCACCTATAGTCAAATTGTTGCCATTTGGGAATGCGGGTCCAGAGTTCACCAAATCTTCAGGAGACGGAAGAAATCTGAATTTATCTAATGTGTAACATCCAGATTTTAAAATACTGGTAACTAATTCAAATTAAATACCAGATGAATCAATCAAAATGTTTTTAATCCAGACACTGATCTCAAATCACCTTTTGAAACCTCTAATGCAAGGTGTACATCATCAAGTAGGTCACATTTAAAAACCTTTCTTGTTTTTAACTAACAGAATACAAAATGCTATATTGCTGGACCCTTAGGCTGTGACATTACGGCTGCTACAATGGACATTCTTGCCTATGTCTGTGCTTGCAAAAATAAATCTAGAAGGTTGAAAATTTCCCTGGAAAAGGTTGCACCAATTTGCAGTTCTATTAATAGTTCACGAGGGGGTCCTTTTCCGGGAGGCTCTAAGCATATTCCCAGGACACTCTAAGCCAACCCAGAGATCAGACACAGTAGGTCTGAGATGGAGGCTGAGATTGTATATTTTCTTAAGCTCCCAGATGATTCTGATGATCAGAGATTTTGGAACCACTGTCTTGGATTATTAACGAGTTGTTTGGGACCATTTCCAGTGAGTTATAAAGGAAATCATAAATACTTTCATCTGAATTTCTGTTTTAGGCTGTTACCTCTAATTACTGCCCTCTATGAAAACACCAAAGGGCTCTGCTGCTGCTGTTTCAGGCAGTTCAGTCGGAGCAGAACAATAAATAAACCAACTCAGGAACCTTCAAGCAGCTTTTATTGGCACGGCCTCGGAAAAGGTGTGGCAGTCATTTCTGAGCAAAAACCTGTAGCCCAGCAAGTCTTCAGTGTTGTGTTTAAAACACCACTGAACCAGGAAGTTTAAGTTCCTGAAACAGATGCTCCAAGTCACTAAGAGGCTCCAAAATCAAGAGATTAAGCTCTGCTGGCTCTGTAAGATCCAAGAGACAAAGAACAGTCCTGGAGATGCATCTCAGTTATGGGATGACCGAAATGGCAGGAAACAGTATCAGGTTTTCTAAGGCTGACTCTTGTTCGCTCCCCCATTACAAGGAAGATGCATCTCAGTCGTGGCACAGAAATCTCCTCTCAGTTCAGTCTTTGCCTAAGCAGCTTCTGCTTAGAACGAGTGGCGGTTATAGGATGTGATCGTCAGGATGGTAGAGTTCACTCATCAGGCGGTAGATGTAGGAAGGTGCATTCCCACCAATATTGGAGATAAACAGAGTAATGAGCTCTGGAGGGACGTAGTCAAACACGGGGCAATGGACACTGACCTTCTCCAAGATGTCCCCTGAAAGGCAATCACACAAGCTAAAGACAAAACCGAGGCTCCTGTTCTAATAAGTATCTCATGGATTCTAGGCTCAATAACACAGGGATACTTGCCACCCCAAGGAAGGGAACCTGTAGCAAAATACAAACCAGAAGAAAAAACATCTGATCATGATCTTCCCTGTGTTTACGACTCTCCATAGAAAGGCAAAAAAAGTTTCAAATTCGGGATTGCAGCCATCAAGACTTGGGCCCTCCCACTGCACTACACTGTAGGCCGTATCGCTCTCCCTCTTGCTCTCCAGCCACATGGCCATCTTTTCCCACCTGGCTAAGCATGTACCTAACTCAGGTCTTTTGCACCAACATCTGGAAAACTCTTTCCTTCACCTTCACGTGGCAGGCTCTACTCCTTCAGGAATCAGCTGAAATGCCATCTCATTAAGTCCCTTCCCCAGTCTAAGGTAGTCCCCTAGTCACTTTCCATCATATCATCTGTATTTTCTTCCTAAAACACTTCATGCCCTGACATATTCTTGTCTGTCTTTTGCAAAATGATTTAAACTCTGGGGGAGCAGGGCCCATCTGTGTTAATCACTGTTATATCCCTAGTGCCTGAAATAGTGCTGGATACACAGTGGGTGCTCAAGAGTCATAAATCTTTCTTGAAAGAATGAATGTTTGAATAAATGGTGAAGCTATTAAACTTCCAAGAAGAATCAGCACTCCAGGTACTATGTTCTGCTCCCGGAGGATGTTAAAGATCATGCAAACTGTTGATGAGGCAGCAAGCTCACTGAGCAAAGTTGCTGCCTTCAGAAGAAGAGAAAAGGTCCCCAACACACAAAAGTGTCCAGACTACAGGCAAGTTTTATAAGTAACATTTCAGAGCCTGCTTCCTTTAGCAGTCACATCACCAAAATGACTCCCTGCAGCAACCAAAATCAAGTACACTTTCTGATTGGGCTGTTGCCTGTATCTCAACTTGCAAAGCCAATCCCAGTCAATGCCAGGTGATCCAACCCCACATGGTTCCCATAACTCAGCTAAAATATATTAGTTTCAGAAGAAAATGAACATGGATTAGGTCAGGTCTGCAAACACTCTAAGTTGCTAAAGAGAACAGTCCCCACAAGAAGTATGATTAATAAAACACAGCCCAACGACATTCAATCCCATTGACCACCAAAAGACCAAAACAAATATATACAAAAATCCAAAACACACCAACTGCGTGTGCCATACACACTGAAGCAACTTCTGTACCTTCTGTGAAAGGCAGGACTTCTTCAGGAGCCACGAACTTGTGAAATGAATCTTCTTCATTGGGGAACTGGAAAAGGAAAAATTAGGAAGAAAAAAAGAGAGATCTGACACTTTGACTTTCAGGTATACACCCAAGAGAAATAAAAAGACATCCAGACACTTGATTACAAAGGCTTATTGCAGCATTACTTATAAAAGCTAGAAGGTAGAAATAACCCAAACGCTGATCAACAGATGAATGGATGATTAAATTGTGGTATATCCACACAACAGAACATTATTCAGTCACAAAAAAGGAACAAAGTATGTGCTATAACTCAGATGAACTCCCAGAATATTTAGAAATCAGAAACAAAAGGGTCCATACTGTATGACTTCTTTTATGTGAAATATCAAAATTAAGCAAATCCATAGAGACTCAAAGCAGATTAGCAATCACTAGGAGATGGGGAAAAGAAAGAAGGGAGTGATTACTTAATGGGTACAGAGTGTTTCTCTGGGATGATGAAAAAATTCTGAAACTAAAGAGTGGTAGTTGCACAATGCTATGATTGTACTAAATGCCACTGAACTGTACATTTTAAAATGGTTAATTGTGTATTATGTGAATTTTACTTCAATTCTTTAATAAGTAGACACCTATAGATAGGTTGTTATTTTCAAAGCAAGTAGTTTCTATCACTGGTAAAATGAGTCTTTACTTAGTAACTGCTTGTGTTCAGGCTACAGAATACAGTTTCTGGAATTATGACAAATAAAAACCAATTCTATGTTTCTAGTTTCAACTTGCTTGGCATTTTCAGAAATGGTCAGGGTGACAGGGGAGTGGTGGCAATGTAGACAAAGGGCCTTCCCCAACTACATATTATCCTGACCTTACAATTTTGATCTCCTAAAGCTGAAAGGTTGTAACTATCAATGGCTCTTCCTGGATCAAGACCACTGTAACCTTTTCCAGTCTCCACTGGGTCTAATCCACCGAGTAAATGCAGAAAAAGAGAAATCCCAGAGTGAGAAGGTTGAAGGTTAAAGAGTTCACACCTATACTTTGACTTCCTTCTGTTGGCTAGAGACAGACAGACATACCTGTGGGGAAAGCTTGAACATAGGAGCACAGACGATGAGTGGGGTGGAATGGTGTTTTGCTGCCAGTGCTAGAGTATGAGTTCCTGCCACAGCTCGCAGGGCACCGTTGGCCAGGATGGTCTTTGTGCCAATGATCACCTTTGGGACAGGAAGAAAGAAGAGAGAACTCCCGAGAACAGAGTCTTCAACAGGCCATTGGGCATGAGCGCCTGAATGCTTAGCTCCCAGTCTTGGCAATTAGCAGGGGGTGGGCGTGGGGGTCACACATCAGGAGAGGGAAAGGGATTCTAGGTCAAGTTCTAGCATAAAAGTGGATTCCCAAGGGAAAAATAAACACAGTACAGGACAGGAAACTGCAGTGTTTATTGCTCTTAGCCCTGTCTTCTCTGGAAATCTATCTGCCACACCTCCTGAGAAGTGGGAAGCCTTTCTTCTACCATCCACCACTACCAAGCTCTCTGAGCAGAAGTGGGCTCTCGACCAGATCTCTAATATGCTGACATGATTAGCTTAGTCCCATTTCATTCCTTTCAATCCTTTAACCAAAATGAGGTGCCTCCAAGGGAGGACAGAGAAGGCAATGGCAACCCACTCCAGTACTCTTGCCTGGAGAGTCCCATGGACAGAGGAGCCGGGTAGGCTGCAGTCCATGGGGTTGCTAGGAGTCGGACAGGACTGAGCGACTTCACTTTCACTTTTCACTTTCATGCAATGGAGAAGGAAATGACAACCCATTCCAGTATTCTTGCCTGGAGAATCCCAGGGACAAGGGAGCCTGGTGGGCTGCTGTCTATGGGGTTGCACAGAGTCGGATATGACTGAAGCAACTTAGTAGCAGCAGCAGCCAAGGGAGGAATAAAGAGGGGGGATCAATATTAATAGAATAAGAGATTTAAAAGGTCCATGTATGTGTTTTCAAAAGGTACTAGAAACTCTCCTCTCTTCTTATAGATATTGGGGCCAGGGAGGGGGGCAGATATTAATATTTTAAAGTATAATCTTCATAAATTTGATGTAATAGAACTCAAATGCACCCACCTTGTTGACTCTTGACATAACAGCAAAAATGGCAGCATCAGTCATTACAGTTGTCTCAATACCTGCTTTAGACAAATTGACTGCCATCTCATGACCCTGCATTTGGAGAGAAAGGCTGATGCTGAGAGGAAGAGTAGGAGAGAGAGAAAAAGCTTTCAAACATAACTGAATCTGGGGGACTGTGTGACACTGGGCATATCCAACATGCAACTTCCAACAGGTAACTAACTCATCTGGTAGGTGTTCTCTGGGAAGCAGCAGGAAGCCCAGGGGACGCTAATTAATGTTTATTACTCCCCAGCAGTGCTGGGACAGGCACAGAACTGGAAATACAACTTGCTTGTGTAACTGGGCAGAGAGCACAGGACAGCTCCTGGCTCATTATTTTACAACATCCTTGTATCCTTACATATTTCCTTTCTGGAGACCTATTATTTACCTGAAGACTGAGTGAGGTCAGACCAAGCATCAGTCATCCCCAAGGTTATTTACCGTATTCTGATTTCTGAAAGAACTAATATTTATCTTTTCTTGGGCCAAGTAGTTCACTCAACTTCCTTAAATGAATACTTTAAGAATGTTCACAGGATCAACAACGTGAAATTCTCTTAAATGTTTAACTCTATCTCCTCAACGTCTGAATCACATCAATTCAAAGACGGCATGGAGCCCACTGACCTCTCCTTTATTCTCTCCTCATTTTAAATTTTTCTTAGCAGCTCCAGCAGTCCCCATACCTGACAGAAAGGTGCACACTCTGCCACGATGACATGGAATTTCCTCTTTCGGGCGGCCTCTTTGAGGAACGCCTCCACTGTGCGGGAGAAGCCAATGGTCATGATGACCTCATTGGAGTGGATGTGCTCCAAGGCCTGGGCTGCGATGTTCTCCGTTGTCCCTTCTGCAAGAAGCCAGTTTTGCATGGAAAATACGACACAGCCATGCTACAACACAGACTTGAGAGAGAATAGAAAGGGACCTGTACCCTTCTTGTACACTGCCCACCTAGCAGAGCCTGGTAACACATGGTCAATGGACTAAACATGAAATGTCCTATTGCCTTAAAAGCCCCTCCCTCCAGGGTTTTCTATCCCCCAAGCTCTCAGCCTACCATCTCGCCCAGCAGTACCCCTACTCATCAACTTACTCCCCTCACCCCTAGCCCGCCCCAAAACTAGTTCTTTACAACTGACTTTGAAGACAATGAATTTAGGCAAGAAATGTCCCATCTGGGAAATTTGAAAGTGCTGACAGTAGGGTAAACAGAGTTTCCCTCTAAAAGAATTCCTTCTCCAAAAGGTGGCCATAATGCCTCCATGTGACAGGGAGGACACAGAAGAAAAATAGGGGAGGAATTTGGAAGAAGCAGCTCAGTGCAAGCAGCTCAGTGCACAGACAGACCCAGTTTCTTCCTTTCCTGGGAACACTTCAGGGCAATAAATATCTGGTCTCCTAGGTCACAAAGACAGGAGGGATAAAAGTGGCTTGTGTGTATGCATATGGGTATGTATGTGTGTGTGTATGTAAAATTTCAAGAAGTTGAGTGAAAAAGGGTTTATCAGCTATGGTTTTCAGAGGTTCATCTTAAAAAATAAAAGCTCTTCCTAAACAGCCTTTGCCACAGTGGATTTGCAGTCGATAAGGGGTCAGTCTGTAAGGAAATGTAGAGAGGGTTATCTGAGTCTTGCCACCTATTCCAATCGTTCTTCATCAGGATGAGGGCAAACCTCTGAGAACCAGAAGACTGGTTATCTCCCATCTCTGCTTATGAACAACTTCCAGGGTCTTCTATTCCCTCATCTGCCTGCAACTTGTCCTGTTCACCTAAGGATCAGGACTCACCCAGTTCCACCAGCAGCTCATTAATTGCCTCAATGATGTTGGACTGGAGTTGGGCATAATGGGAACGGAAATCCTCGCTCAGGCCCCCGGATGTCAAGAGTTTGTGCAGAGACTCCTGCTGATCGCTCTCGTCGCTGCGTCCGTGGAGTCTACGAAGGCAACAAGACCCAAAGGAGTTGGGGGAAAAGATGTGGTCATTTAAGTAACGACAGCTGCTCAGCTCCAACAAAGGCTCCAAGCAGGGGGAGAGAGGGGCCCGTGCAAAAAGCTTCACTGGGCCCAAGCCCCGGTTCAGGATGTTGGCCTGACCTGCCATACTCCTCCCGGATGATTCTGAGCACTCTCCGCACCATGTTGCCCACGGTGGTCTCTGAGGGTTGCGCGGCCGTCATCCTCCGGCCTTCTCTGCGGATCAGTTCCATCAGCTCCCCTACGGCCCAAAGAGAAAAGGTGAGGGCGAGAAGCGCGCGGCGTGGGGCCTGGGCGACTTTCCGCCTGGGAATCAGGATCAGAAAGGGGGGAGGCCTGCCTCACCTGCATTGCTCCAGTGGTGGTCCGTGATGATGCGGCGAAGCAGCCCCAGAGTCTCCCGGGCCATGTCCTCGGAGCTGCGCCGCCCGCCGCCCCGCTTCAGCGCCTCCACGAAACTCTCGATCCTCTCGGACAGCTCCGAGCCCTTGGCGGCTGCCCCTGGCATCTCGAAAGAAGCCGCCTTGCCGGCGGAATCCACACCTGGCAGACCTCCGAGCTTGCACTTCCGGGGCAGGAGAGGTCGGCTTCCGCTCTGCTAGAAAAAAAACTCACCCTTGGGAGAAGACTGGGCCACGCCCCTCTCTGCTAACTCCCGCCACAGAGCCAATCAGACTCTTGGAACTCGATGTGTTACGTTTACCGCCGAGCGTCCGCGGGCCTCGGAGGTTAGAAGGCTGGAAGTGTCCTTTCCTGGCTTCTCGATCACTGAAGACTTGACGGTTGACGCCACAAGAGGGTGGCTAGTCCCGTTGCTGTGGAAACAGCCAGTCTGAAAGGCCCCTACCACTTCCCGAGCTACGCTGGAGAAGTTGCAGGCCTACTTCCCGGTCCCTCAGCTTCGGTGACGACCAGAGTGCGGCTCCAGGGTCCGCTCCCCCTAGGGCAGACGCCCCATTATAATGCTGTCTCTTGTCTCTCTAATAGATTGAGCTCCCTCATGGCAAGGACCACTTTTTTTTTTTTTTTTTTTTGCCTTTGCCTTTTCAACGTCTAGCACATCTCCTCAGAGATGAGGAGACCGAATATCCACCAATAAGGAGATTCAGAGTGGCAGTTAATAGGGGAGCAAAGATGATGTCCTTCCATCTGGACAGACTAGAGACTGGGGAGTAAAACATGTAACACGACCGTTTACTTTGAGTTTACTAAGTGTTGGACACTGTGTATGAATTGTCTCATCTAATGCATCTCTATGAGATAGGTCCTCTTATCCTAATTTTACACATCAGAAAACAAAGCTACAGGATTTTAAGCAGTTAATAAGGGGGTGCGTTTATATTTAAATCCAGTTGTGTCTGAACCTAAAATCTGTGGGTAATGAGAATCTCTATTTCCTTAAAATAAATCTTAGAAATGGGGGGGAAAAAAAGAAATGGAATCCTTTGGCACGCACTTTTCTAAGACTTTTGTTACAGTTGAGAAATTGCCTTGCAGAAAAATATATCAGTACCAAAATCAGACAAAGATAATACGAAAAAAAGAAAATTAGAGACCAGGGTCCCTCCTGAATGCAGATACAAAGAGCTGCAACAAATTTTTAGCAAACCAAATTCATCAGTACATAAATGATTCATGTAAGGACTTCCCTGGTGACTCGGTGCTTTGGAATCCACCTCCCAGTGAATGCAGAGGTCACAGGTTGAATCCCTGGTCTAGGAGGATCCCCCATATTGCAGAGCAAGTAAGTGCTGTGCCACAACTACCAAAGCCTGCGCCCTCTAGGGCCGGAGAACCTCAACTGCTGAGCCCCTGCGCCGCAACTACTGAGGCCCATGTGCCTAGAACCGCTGCATCACAACAGAGTAGCCCCTGCTCACCACAGCTAGAGAAAGCCTGCGTGAAGCAATGAAGACCCAGCAGAGTCAAAAGTAAATAATAAAATTAAGATTCATGTGTAATTATCAAGTATAATTTAAATCTGGAAGGCAAAGCTGTTTCAATATTTGAAAATCAATTTGAGAACTTTATGTTAATATTCTAAAAAGTAAAACCACATGACCGTTATCAATTGATGCAAGAAGCATTTGACAAAAATCAACAGCCATTGAATTAAAAACCCTTAAAAAACTAGAAATAAGGAGGAACATCTTCAGCATGATAAGGGCCACTACAAATCCTGTACCTAAAATCATACTTTGTGGTCAAAGAAAATTTCTCTCTAAGATCAGAAACAAGGCAAGAATGTCCTTACCACTCAAATTTAAACTCAAAGATCTAGCCAGTGCAGTAAGACAAGAAAAAGAAATTTAAAAGCATACAGACTGGAAAGAAAGAAAACTAACAGAAAACATCATTGTCTTCATAGAAAATCCCAGAGAATCAACAATAAGAAAAAACTTCCTAGAACTAATTTAGCAAAGATGCAAGGTCAACACACAAAAATCAATCATATTTCTATATACTGTTAATGAATAATCAGAAACCAAAATTGAAAGCATAATAACTCCCCAAAGCCATCAAGTATTTATCAATTTACCATGTTAAGTTTATTTATTTATTTTTTTTTATGCTTCTTGTTTTTATTTCAGAACTGGCTGACAAAATAACCTATTTTTGATTGTTTGATGGATATCTCTGATGGCTCTGGCCTATGTTATTCCTCATAATTTTTTTTTATTCCTCATAATTTTACCATTTATTTTGGATTCTGAATCTTAGCTCAACAGCCACTCCCTTGTGGTTGTATATTTAACTAGTATTTCAAACTCAGTTTTAGCTTAATATTCAGGTTGCAATATACGTCTTCTTTTTTTTTTTCTTTTTTTTTTTAATAGGCTAATTACTTTACATCATTACAGTAGTTTTTGTCATACATTGAAATGAATCAGCCATGGATTTACATGTATTCCCCATCCCAGTCCCCCCTCCCACCTCCCTCTTCACCCGATCCTTCTGGGTCTTCCCAGTGCACCAGGCCCGAGCACCTGTCTCATGCACCCAATCTGGGCTGGTGATCTGTTTCACCCTAGATAATATACATGTTTCAATGCTGTTCTCTTGAAACATCCCACCCTTGCCTTCTCCCAGAGCCATGTTAAGTTTAAAATGTGTGAAAAGTATCAATTTACAGGCTTGCTAGCACTTATCATGTTCTGGCCAACCTTGGATATTGTCATTATTTTTCCAGATATAAAGACATTAAAAAATAAGATATGTACTGTTTTATAATACAAAAGAATATGTGTGTGTATATAACATGTATATGCAAGTTATGAAATGGCAATAAATGAACACCTGTGAGCCCATCTGTCAACTTGAAAACTAAAATCTCAAATTCGTAGACACAGAAAGTAGAATAGTGGTTGTCAGAGGCTGGAGGGAAAGATTATTTATTGTTTAATGTACAGAATTTCAATTTTACAAGATGAAAGGAATTCTAGAAATGGATGTGCATTTATATTGTATAATAGTGTAAGTGCATTTAATGCCACTGAACTGCACACTTAAGGGTTAAAATGGTAAATTTTATGTGTATTTTATCACAATTTAAAAAATAGATATGTGAAATTTTAAGAAAACACCTAAAATACTGCCAATACCATCACACATGTGTCTGCTCTTCTCCTAATCCATATCCTTGCCTTCTACCACACTCAAGGAAAACCACAAAATTTTGATTGATAATGCCTTTGCTTTATAAAAAAAGTTTTATATATTTACAGCCCCTAAATTAACAAAGTGCTTAATTTTGCTTATTTGGAATTTTTTATAAATGGTATTGTAATGTAATCTTCTACAAGTTGCTTTTTTTTTAACTCGATATGATGTTCCTAAAATATCCCTCCATGTTGCTACATGTGTCTATAGTTCTGTTTGCACTGCTGCATAATGTTCCGTCATGTGACTATACCACAATTCATTTTCCTTCAACAGATATTTGGGTTGTTTCCAGTCTTTCTGGAGGGTGAGAGAATATAAACTATAAATATTCTTGTGTATATCTTGGCATACCTACAAGTGGAACAGCTAGGTCATAGGCTATGTGAATATTCAACTTTACAAATAGTGCTAGTATTCCAAAGTGGTTACATCAATGTATGCTCCCTCCAGAAGTGCTTAAAGAGTTCTAGCTGATCTACTCCTTACCAACACTTGGTATTATTTGTGGTTGAGGGAGGTGGGTGGAACCAGATAGATATAAAAGGATGTATCATTGGCATCTTAATTTGTTTTTCTGATTACTAATGAGGTTGTTTTTTTTTTTTCATATGTTTATTGGCCATGTCCTTTTTCTCCTTTGTGAAATATCTGTCTTTTACCTACTTTCTTTAGGCAAAGGAAAAAAAAAACTCTTCCTAATATATTTGTAGGAGTTCCTTATATATTCTGAATACTAGTTTTTTCCCCCTTAATTTATGGCTTGTCTTTTTACTCACTTTGAGATGTCTTTGAACAAAGTTCTTGATTTTAATATGATGGAATGTACCAATCTTGTCTTTTATAGTTAATGCCTTTTGTGTTTTATTTAGAAAATCCTTCCCTAATCTGAAAGCATAAAGATAATCATCTGAATCTTCTTCTGAGTAATTTTACAAATTGCCTTTACACATAATTTTGAATTGCTTTCTATATAGGATGAGAAATGAGATGTAATTTTATTTTCTTTCTTCAGTGATTTTCAGTACTATCATGGTAATTTGTGAAATTTCTATATTGTGAGAATCTGTTTGGGGGCCCTCTGTTCCTATTGCTAAATTTGCCTGTCCTTGAATCAATATTACATTATCTTAATTACTACTATCTTTTTTTTTTTTTTTTTAAGTCTTGCTATCTGGTAAGAAAAACTCTCTTACCATATTCCTTTCTTTAAGAGTGTCTTTAGTTTGGGGCCTTTGCACTTTCATGTATATTTTAGGAATAAAACATCTGTTTCTCAAAAATAAAAACCCACTCTATTGAGATTTTGTTTGGCATTGCTTTAAATCTCTAAACCAATTTGAGGACAATTGACATCGTTAAGATACCAAGTCCTACTATCCATGAACATGGTATATATCTGCATTTACTTAGGTCTTCTTTAATGTTGTCCAGTAAAATTTTATAATTTTCTTCATTTAGGTCTTGCACATCATGTATATAAAATTTCTTCTTAGGCATTTTATATATTTGTCTGTATTGTAGATGAATATCATTCTTTTTCATCATTGCCAAATTAATAGAGAAATACAGAAACTACTTTTAATTTGTACCCTTTTGCTCATTAATAATGAAGAGCCTTTCTTCATATTTATTTACCATTTGCTTTTCTTCTCTTATGAAGTACTGGTGCATGTGGTTTGCCCATTTTTCTGATGTGATGTATAGCAGACATTCTGGTTGTTCATTGAATATCCATTTCTCTCTTTTTTCTTATTAGAAAGAACTTATTTTGTTTGGTTTCTACCCACAAGAAAGGTGGTTCTAGCTTATGAGTAAATCTTGATTGATCTAAACCAATCATAGCCATTCCATTCTCCTTTTTTTTTTTAATAGATTGGGTATAGAGTAATCTATTTACTAGCCAGTGGAATGCAAGGGAAATCTGTTTGGCACTTCTTGGAAAGGTTTCCCTGTTCTAAAGAAAGAAACAGACAAGACTACTTAGCCTTGTCTATTTCTGGACTTCTTGGGTGAGATTCCTAGAGTTAATGCAGCTATCTTGTGACCCTGAGGTCTGAAGACTGAGAATAATGTTAACATGCTAAGGATTCCAGAACAGAAAAGCTGGAAGAACCTGAACTCTTGATAATGTCAACACTTAATGGCTATTTTACATATATTATCTCTTCATCCTTAAACCTATGAGATAGATACTATTAATATAGCCATTTTCAAAATAGGAAGCTAAGGCATATATAGGATAAGTAACTTGCTCAGTGTCCCACACTCAGTAAATGGAAGGGCCGGGATGTAAACCCAACAACCTAGCTTCAGAGCCTTTACCGTTTGTCTATGTTTTGTGGTAGCCTTCTTAAAGTTATTGTGTGAAATCAACAAAATCAGAAGTTGCCCTACCTTTGGAGTTATTATATGAAGTCTAAATTTCTCTTTTGTTTATATAATTTTAATTGGAATTTTATATCATTTGCCACCCAAAGCATCTTGATTTGGGATATTTCTTTTTTCTAGGTGACTTATAAGATCTATTTAGATATTAAGAATGCTAACTGTTTGATTGTAATTTGTGTTGAAACATAACTGCCTAATTCTTATATACTGCTGTGGGATTGTAAATTGAAACCTTTAGTAGGACAATTGGAAAACAGAA